TCGCTGTCTGCGATTCGCCTTGCGTATCTCGCAATCGTTTTCAGTGGTGGATCTGTTTTCATCGTCGACCTCCGTGTCCTTCGCTGACGTCTCAAGGATTTTGCGGCCACGCGGTGTTGGTGGCGTACGACTTCAGGGGTCGGGATAACAAGGCATTGATGTGGCACTGTTGCCTCTTCTGAGGTTCTCCACCTCATGAAGGCACTTCCAATGCTGGCCACCTTTGACTTGATCTCCTTCTGGACATTCGCTCTGGGCCTGGCGAGCTCATGTAGCTCGTTGATGAGCGGTTCGAGGCGATCCCAACCCTGTGTCCTCTTAATTTCAGCACTTGCATCCAGTGCTACCTGTTGCGCGTGATGCCCACTTCTCCCTCCTGCATCTTTATTTGGTTCATTTGCTAGATTCTTCACAGTGTTCTCACGAGTACCCAGGGAAATGACTGTCCAATCCGACAGAGCCCATCCCGTACGCTAGTTTTGGAGTTGGGCTTCTCTCCCAAGATATCTTGAAAATGATACGCCTTGTCTCGAACTGCTTCTTAGTTTGGGTACATCCCTTAAGCTCCTTCATCGTTGACAAGGTCTTGCAGTGCTTAGGAGGGATGTCTGTCTGTTTTTTTTTCTTCCGAAGTCTTGGGGCGAAATGTACCTAACCGCACGATAGTGGACCGTAACATGGCGGTTACTGTCACACTCTGTGGGGGGCCTTAACCCACTAAAACCACTTGACCGCGGGAATTCGTCGACCCTACTTTCCCTTGCGGCAACACCGTTAAGTATTACTTCGTGAGGGAGGTCTCAGCTATTTGCTCTTCCTCATTGTTTAAGCCTATTGTACGTCCCCATGTCCTACTAAGATGTTGTATGAGGGTAGGAGGTTCCAACAGGTTTTGCATCTACTCTGCAGTTTTGCACTTGTGCTCCTCATTTCAGAGCTCCTTCATGACTTGGGCCGCGAAGTTGCTCGTTGTGTCCCAGGCTGCCTGCGATGACAGCAAAACTTCCATCATGTTCCCAGTCAAGACCCGCCTTGCGAGTGCAGTCTCCCAAGTACTCCGGATCTCGCTGAAACGTGGGCATGTGAGAAACACGTACTCCGCGTCCACATCCACTCATATCCAGGTCGGGCACACCGGGGAATTCTCATGTATAAATTAATGAAGATAGGCCAGGAAGCACCCATGTCCCGATAGCACCTGTGTGAGATAATAATTGACTCCATGGTTACGATTCGGCCAGACATCCACCTTCGGCATCAGATAATGAGACCATCTCTCTTTGATGGAGTTCTCCCACTTCAGCTGCCATTATTTCAATATGTTTCGCCTCTCGTCTATCGCCAGTTCTTCGGGACTCAGCACTTCAGATCTCTTCCGGCGGTACAGAGATCTTCGTTCCTCGGCTAGTACTTCAATGGCCAACATCTCAGCGATAACACACACTGCATCCTTGGACACAGTGCGGTATGCGCTGGCAACTCTGAGGGCGCTCAGTCGGTAGACTAGTGCCACATTTCATCATGATTCTTGCGTCTGCAGAGCGTCAGCCCAGATGGCAATGCCATACGTGAGTACCGACGTGACCACCGATGATAGTAGCGCTCGTCTCCTCTGCTTAGGGCTTCCTACGTTGGGCATGAGGCGCGATAGGGATGCTCTGAGCCCGGACGCCTTCATACCTACGTGCTCTGCTTCAAGTTGAGTCGGACATCGATCATTACCTCCAAATACCGAATGAACGGCTGGGAAGTGAGTTCGTAATTTCCGGCTTGCAGCGTGTTTGTCTCGATCTTCCTCCTGCTTGTGATTAACACGGCCTCGGTTTTGTGTTCTGCCAACTCTAGGCCTACTGTGTCCATCCAGTGGCGGATGGTCCCGAAAGCCATATCAAATGCAAAGTTGATCTCCTCCAGGTGTTTCCCCACGATGACTATGGCCACGTCATCCGCAAATGCCACAAGTTTCACATCCTGTGGCAATGTCAGCTTCAGCCGCCCATCGTACATGATATACCACCGGAGAGGGCCCAGACTGAGCCTTGAGGTACACCTCCTATAAATCTGTGCTCCTCGTGACCACACTCCGTGTCGTACTTGAGGAGTTTTCCGATGAAGTACCTATCTACTATCCTCCGCAAGTCTCCAGGTACATGCAGCTTCACAAGAGCCTCTCTTATGCAGTGGCTCCTATCCACCTGGCTCAGTTGGAAGCATCCTTGATGTCCAGTTTCACTACTAAGCAATACTTCTTCCTGCCCCCGTACCATCTTTTTCCTGAGATCGCTTCCCGAGCGATTCCAACGACCAGGCTGATGGCATGAAGAGTAGATTGGCCTGTCCAGAAACCTTTCTGGTTCTCAGCTAACAGTGGATCAACTGTTGCTTCTATCCTCCTATGGGCGATGCATTCGAAAATCTTGCGAGCTCTATCGAGCATGCAGAGGGGATGATACGATGAGGGTTCGTCCGGAGGTGTCTTCTCTTTTGGGTGCAAGACTAGTCTCTAGTCCACTTGGCATGGAAGATACCTTCCTTAAGATACTCGTGATACACGCCCAGAAACAGTGCTGGTATCGTGCGGATGGCTGCTTTCAGCGCAATATTAGGGATTCCATCTAGGCCAGGAGCCTTGCTGTTCCCCACTCTTTTGCAGGCCTCCATCAGTTCCTCTTCGGTGACCGGTGGAATGATCTCCTCCTCTCTGTACTCGGTGGTATGGTGAAGTTCTGGTTGTTATGGGAACAACACCGTGACGATTTTCTTCAGGACAAGTCGGCTATGGCATTGGTTGGCTTTTAAGCCGCGTCATCACCACTTTGCATGGCCTGCCCCACGGATCCCCTTCGACTTCGGCAAGGAACTTATTCCAGGATTGCTTCTCGCTGCACTTGATGGCCTTGGGGAGCTTCAGGCGTGTCTCCTTATATTTCGACTGCATCTCTTTGAAGTTTGGCTTCTTTCGGGCTCGCTGCGACGTTCTCCTCGCTTTATTGCACTCTTTACAAAGAGTGGCAATGGTACCATTCCACCAATACATCGGCGAGTGCTGATTTCTCCTCGTGAAGTCGTCCGCCTTTTCAACAGCATTGTTGCCACTGATTGGACCGTCGCCTAGTGCAATTAGATGTGAGTTAGGATCGAAAGTACACACTTTTCAGCCAATTGTGTTGGTCTTCTTGGGCGCTGACCCGATCCTCCGGCTGGTAAATACCTCCCAGGTATTTGCATGATGATCGCTGGCAGCGTAGATGTCGGTTACCCTCCATGAGCAGTTTCCCCTTGCAAGGTTGCTGCTCACGAATGTAAGATCTACGATCGAGTTCGCCTCTCCTCTCATGAAGGTCGGTTCGTTGCCATTGTTCAGCAGGACTACGTCGAGGGATGACATAGCTTGTAACATCGCTTCACTCTGATTGTTGGTCTCCTTACTTCCCCAGTAGACTGCCCAGACGTTGAAGTCCCCGGCTATTGCCACGGAAAAGTGCTGCTTCGCATCCTGAGTCAGTCTATTCAGGAATTCCGTAAACTCGTCAATAGAGAGGCTAGGTGGGGCATAGTAGCTGTAGAAGTAAATTTCATTAATCTTAGCCTTCACAAAGCCATTTTCATTACTACAGGAGGCGATCTGGACGAAGTAGCTCCCATAAGACCAGATGACAGTCTTTCTGCTGGCGTCAGTAACCCAGGGTTGGGCGCCAAGATATCTATATAGCTCTGATATTATAACAAGCTCAGACGTCAACTCTCGCACTGTCTGCATGAGCAGCTCGTGTGCGGCCTCACAGTAGTTGAGTTGAGTTGTAGCACCCTGAAGTGCCTCCTTATACATTGGGCATCTGTTGCTACCAGCAATGTGGGTACATTTCTCCGTTTTACCTTTCTCTCTGCACAGGGCGCATCTAGGTTCCTTCTTGTAGTCCGTAGCCTTCTGGCCGGCCTCTGAATGTTTGGCGCAGAGTTCGAACCGGTCGACCTTACTCCCATATTTAGCAGCGAAATGTCCATAGTGCCAGCACTTGAAGCACTTCATTAGTTACTCCACTCTTCTTATACGCCAATTTACCTAACCTATTTTGATCTTCACGTCCTCTCCCAGGATCTTTTTCACTGCAGTTGCTGCCTGTGTCACTGAGGCAGTCTAAGCTCTTCCATATGCCTCACGCAAGGACTTGATGGCATCTACACCAATTTTATGCGAATCTTATCGACGCATGTACGGGCCTGGTCTATGGGGACGTCTTTTTTGACTCCGGTGAGGATCTCTGAGTACTTGCTTTTGTCCCTCTGATGAATAATCAGAGCATCAAGTCTAGGCGGCGGTTCCCGTGGGGACTTTTGCTCCTTTGTCTTCTAAGTCTCGAGCAGCTTCCGTGGCTGCTTTTCGAGTGGCTTCTTTTTCTTCTTCTTGTTCTCCACATTCTCCCAATTAGGTGATTTGTCTGTCTGTGTCTTTCTGTATCTTTTTTTCGAGGTCTTTGGAGTGAATGTACCTAACCGCACGATAGTGGCCAGTAAGAGCGATGATCACTGTCACACCCTGTGTGGGGCCTGCACCCACTAAATACGCCTGACCCCGGGATTTCCTCCCGACCCTTCTTTCTCTCGCGGAACCACCGTTAAGTATTACTTCGCGAGGGAGGTCTCAGCTGTTTGCTCTTCCACCGTAACTTCATTTAATGTACGTCCCCCTACCCCACTGAGATGTTGAGTGTGGGTAGGAGGTTTCAATGAATTCCTCAGCTATTCTGCAGCCTTGCGCTTGCGTTCCTCTTTCCTAAACTCCTTCAAGACTTCGGCTGCAAAGTTACTCGCCGCGTCCCAGCCCGCCTGTGATGATAGCAAAACATCCATCAAGGGACATCCACCCATGTCCCGATAGCATCTGTGTCAGGTAGTAATTGACCTTCCCATGGTTTCGGTTTAGCCCGACATCCACTGTTAGGATCAGGCGATGAGTACGCCTCCTTTTGGTAGAATTGTCCCACTTCATCTGCCATCGTCTAGAACTGTTTCGCCTCTCTTCTGTCGCCAGTGTCGCCTTCGGGGCTCAGCATTTCAGATCTCTTCCGCTGGTAGAAGGATCTCCGCTCCTCAGCTAGTACCTCTATCGTTAATATCCCGGCGATGACGCACACTGCGTCTTCGGACACCATACGATATGCGCTCGCGACTGGCAGAGCACTTAGTCGATATACTGGTGCCAATTTTTGCCGTGGTTCCTGCAGTTGCAGTGCATCACCCCAAATGGAAATACCGTAGGTGAGCACCGACGTTACCACCGATGACAGCAGAGCTCGTCTTCTTTGTTTAGAGCTTCCGATATTAGGCATAAGGCGCGATAAGAGGGATCTGACTCCAGACGCCTTGGTGCCGACATGCGCGGTTTGCTGCTTCAAATTGAGTCGGGCATCGATCATCACTCCCAGGTATCGAATGAACGGCTGAGAAGTAATTTTGCAGGACCCAACCTGCAGCGTCATTGTCTCGGTTTTCTTCCTGCTGGTGATCAGCACGACCTCCGTCTTGTGCTCCGCTAGTTTCAGACCCACTGCGTTCATCCAATGGCAGATCGTCTTGAAGGTCGTTGACTTCCTCTAGGTGTTTGCCCACAATGATTACAGCCACATCATCTGCAAATGCTACGAGTTTAGTTTCCCGTGGCAATCCCAGCTTCAGCAGCCCGTCATACATTAAATTCCATAACAGAGGACCCAATAGTGAACGTTAACTCTGTATTCCTTGGGACCAGAGTCCATGTCGTACTTAAGGACTCTTCCAGTGAAATAGCTGTCGATCATTCTCAACAAGTATCCCGGTACGTTGAACTTCACCAATGCCTCGATGATGCGGTCCCATTTGGCCGAGTTGAAGGCATTCTTGATATCTAGTGTAACTACTAAGTCGTACTTCTTTGTGCCATTCAGCCATCTCTTCCCTGAGATCGCGTCCCTGGCGGTGGTTGGTGACGAGGTTAATGGCGTCCAAAGTGGATCGACCTTGTCGGAATCTACATTGGTTGTCGGCCAACAGGGGTTCGACTGCTGCTTCTATCCTTCGGTGAACGATAGGCTCGAGGATCTTGCTAGCAGTCTCGAGCACGCAGAGGGGATGGTATGATGAAGTGTGGTCCGGTGATTTATTCCCTTTCGGGAGTAGGACAAGCTTCTGCTGCTTCCACATGGCAGAGAAAGTGCCTTCCCTCAGGCGCTCGTTGTATACGTCCAAGAACAACTGCATCGCGTGGATAGTTGACTTCAACGCGATATTGGGGATTCCATCAAGACCAGGGGCGTTGGTATTTCTCACTCTATTGCAAGCTTCCATCAACTCTTCTTTGATGATTGATGAATTCATCATCTCTTCTCCTTGTTCGCCGGTGCGATGAAGTTCTGGTGGTTGCGGGAACAGAACCGTGATGATTTAGTTCATAAGCACAGTGCACGTTGACGACCGCATTGATTGACTTTTGAGTCGCGTCATGACCACCTTGTATGGTCGACCCCAAGGATTACCCTCTACCTCGGCAAAGAGCTCACTCCAAGATTGATTTTTGCTACCCTTGATAGCTTTGCTGAGCTTCTGATGTGCCTTTTTACAGGGTGTCCTCTAGGAATGTGTGAAAACTAAACTCATCTGCCGACTCATCCAAAATAATCTTGACTCTTTACATTTGTGTTACGTTTACTAGGGGCCAGTCAGTTTTATTCCAACTGTGGCAGGAGCCTTAGTTTGTTAACAGTAATGAGTGATTTGACAATTCAAGAAAAAAGATATCTCATCGAGTGCTTCTATTCGAGAGGGAAAAAATACTGTGAAATTTTTAGGGGGTTTCGTACTAAATTTGGATCCAAATGAGGTGCTAGCGAAACCACTTTGAGGAGGTTAGAATAAATTTTTTTTCATATTGATTGTCTGACACAACAAAACACATTACAGATTTTCGTAGAAATCCCGTTGGTTTCTAGTCATGATAATATTCTTTTTCTAGAATAATTGAAAATTTCGAGGAATACGGCACTTTGGATAATCGTAGAGCTACTCTTCCAGATCCCTTATTCTCTGCTGCAACACAGGAGAAGGTGGATGAAGTTGAACAGTATTTCAAGGCAAATCCCAATTCATTCATTCGGAGAGCCGCTCAAGATGTAAAATTGACCGAATCAATGTTGCATCGTATCCTTCACGTTTTTTTGCAACTTCATCCATATAAAATATTGATGTGTCAGCGTTTGACAGAGGAGGCGATTCTGAGACGAAAGGAATTTTGTGAAAGAATGACACAAATGTTCGAAAATGGCGAGCTGCATGAAACAGCAATTGTTTTTTCTGACGAGGCACACTTTTGGCTAGACTACTACGTGAACAAAAATAATTTGAGATTTTGGGGATCTGAAAAACCTAATTTTTTGTTTACGAAATCTGCTCATCCACAGAAAGTCACTGTTTGGGCTGCTCTCTCCATGAAGAGTGTCTATCTACATTTTTTCGAATCTACCGTTACCGGGAATGAGTACAAAAGAATGTTTGGAACAAAATTCTTCGGTTTTATTTTATGCAGGATGGAGCAGCTTCCCACCGTCCTCACGAAGTTTTCGAAATTCTTAATGCAGTTTATCGCGGTCGAGTTCTTGGTTTGGGATATCCAAAATTTTATGGAGGGGGAATAGATTGGCCACCCTATTCACCAGATTTGAATCCGTGTGATTATTTCCTGTGGGGTTACATAAAAGTTTCTTGTTACGCAAACAAGCCAAAAACAATCGAAAATTCGATAAACAATATCAAAAAGACTGTTCACGGTATTCCACAGGAAACATTAGAACGTGTATTCCACGGTTTTAGGAAACGTTTGGATTATTGCGCCAGTGTTGATGGCTCTCATTTCAAAAACATTTACTATTAATCGCACTTGTCACGTACAATTTTGGTAAGCTACTATTTTCATTGAGCGAGTTACATGTTTCAATAATGAATATACGGTGAAATAAAAATGACAACTCTCCTCTATCAGGGACTGTATTCTTTCTCTTTTCCCCTGTTTCCAGTAAAAAAACAATAATCAAACAGTTGTCACACATTCCCATGGGACACCCTGTATATCTCATCTGCAGCTCTTCGAATTTCGACTTTTTACGGCCACGCTAAGACAACCGCCTGGCAGTATTACACTACTTTCACAGGGTGGCGATGGTGTTATTCCACCAGTAAACCGGTAGATGCCGATTTGTGGTCCGCTTCCTGCTCATGGTAGCATCGCAGGCTTCCGTTGCTCTTTTCATGATGTGGTGTGCCTTCTCAGTGGCATTGTTGCCACTGATCAGGCGGACGTCTAATGCTGCTGAAAAGAAGCATTAGTTGATTGGCGTCAACAGTGTTCACTCTCCAGCCAATGCAGTTAGTCCTCTTGGGTGACCAGGCAGTTCTCTTGTCAGTACATTGCTGCAAAATTATCGCACGGTGGTCGCTCGCCGTGTATATATCAGTAACTCTCCATGAGCAGTTCCCCTTTGTAAGAGTACTGCTCACAAAGATAATGTCCACAATTGAGCTCGTCTCTCCTCTCATCAATGTTGGTTCATCGCCGCTGTTCATTAGGACCACATCCAATGCTACCATGGCTTCCCGTACTGCTTGCCCTCTGGCGTTCGTCTCCCGGCTTTCCCAATCAATTGCCCAGGCGTTGAAGTCCCTAGCGATTGCCACGGGAAAGTGCTGCTTTGCATCCTCGGTCAGTTCATCTACACTACAAAAAGTCGTGTCTGAATTTCAGATACATTTGTCCCATTTTTTAAGTAGGAAATGTCCCAGATATTAAGTAGTCAAATGTGACTAAATTTCAGACAACTCATGTATCTTATGTGGAAGATACTTTACGAGTCTTAATTTTTGCAAATTATTATGTTTTTTTTT